GTGTTGCCATGTCGCATCACGTTCCCCACAAACTTTCGTCAATGTGTGTTTGGAAGTAAACGCAAGTTTTGTTTGACATCCCAACCACTACAGTCTGAAAAGATATATTTGATTCTATGACGATTCTGATCCATTAACATGTACGCAATATATCGTGGTGGTAACGCGGTGGTCAGCCTACCAGTGCTCTGCTACGGCATTACGGAAGACCAAAGGCTTGAAGGTACAACAAAAGAAAGCCAATCTCGATTGAAGGTGCACCTCGTTTGGATACCTACTTAGGATACGGACCTTGGAGATGTGAATATGTGTGGCAACCCATCGGCATTGTAACCGTGGCATACAGCAAGTAGCATATCGCAAGTAGTATATCCTGAGAATGATTTTCGGGTGACCAGTCAAAACACTAGATTCTTGTCAATGGTATGGCTTCCGTTCACACATCGCTCCTATCTAAGTGAAATTAGGTATGAATAGAGGCCCTCATAATACAAAGGAACAACAAAATACGTTACCATCATTGTTCGAGCATCCGAAAAGCGCAAGTTATTTTTTTTCGAGAAACTGCCTAAATTGATGGGTAAAAGTAGAGCTATTCACATTGAGCCGCATTGTATTCATATCCAAAGCTCAGCCAGACAGTACCTAATAGTGTGCATAAAAATACGTTTTTGGAAGCTCCAACAATTTGTAACCAGGTTTATCACAGTCTGATGCATTGGTATTGCACCCGATGCACTACTCTCCCCAACGACTCCACCTCCCAAGAGAAGCCGTCTCTTTATGGGAATTACTTCACCATAATCGGTGTAACCACATTCTTAAATACACATGGTAATGGCGTCTCCACAAGTGGAATGCACAAACGTCTTGCGGAATTTCTCTGTTAGAACTGATTGCATTGATGAGGAAAGTTTGAGGCCGATTGAGAAGCCATCGTTTCAGAAGGGTTTGGTAAACTACCGATAGTTTTTAACTGCGCAGACGTTTCACTTTTGACAAAAGCCTTATCAGGCCAAGTAAACAGTTCATGATAGATTTCGCAGATTTCTTTAACATGTTTGGGCTTGTGTGTGTGTGTGTTATGACAATTTCGTTTGAGGGGGGAAGGTGGGTGAGATTGGGTGCAATTCAGATCTAAGCTACTCGTGCTAATGACTCGTACTTCTGAAAACCACACACAACGCGTGTCAGCTTGGCTGATCCAAGACCGTTCTCCACACACGTATCAGTTCTACGCCTTCTATGCCATTCACACTGGGATGCTTGGCATTTTCCACCGCCTCGGCCATCAGTCTCTGTGGCGTGAAATGCAGTGCTCGCCTCAAAACCACCACATTTTATAAATATGTTTTGCGCCTCGTATCCAGGACATGTTCCGCCATCGTCGAGTCTTTCAGTAGTGCTCATCTGCGTTCCTCGGCGGTCTGTTTATTTTTTCTCCTGTGCTCTACGACTCTTGTGTGAAGTTTCCTGGCCGTCTGTTATATATAGACCTTGATGCGGTCGTTACACTTAGTTTTGTAGACAATCTCTGTTTCTAGTCGCCGGGAGGCGATCCTTCAATCGCACAAGATCAGAGCACAGTTATTCCAATCTGGAAACCTGCTCTTATGTTGCCCGTTTTTAGAATCCTTCGAATGGCCTCCAGTGTCCCTGTTTTTTACGGAATAACGGCTGTCCCAATCCATTCCCTGTTAGGTTTCGTCACCGGTACCAACACCCTTTGCAATGGACGCAAAATCAAATTAGCTGAATACCCACTAACCCGGAGCTCGTTTTGTACTTCCATTTAGGCTACTTTCTGATCGACTTTTTCCGTGCACAGCACCCTAACGATCTTGAAAATTAACGAGGCAACGCCAGCGTTTACCGACATCGGATGACCTAAGGGTAGTTCAAAATCTTCTCCGTGTCAGCTGGCTTCTAGTAGACTATGAGCTTTAGTTTATTTTACCCACCTTCCCCCCCCCAAACCAAATTGTCGTAGCACTCACAAAAGCCATGCACAAACCTTCAAGTGGAAGATTAAGGAAGTAAACTCGGTCAAAATGATTTGAAACTCCTTCAATCCATTAACCCCAAGATTTAGGCAACCTCACTAACCGACAAAGAACCTTCACCTGAAATTCAACACTTGGTGTGCTAATCTGAAGAGATCATACTGATTGGTTCTCCGTCTGCCTTGAAACCTAGCCAAATTACTGACCTGTTCACTTGACCGAATAAAGCCTTTATTTAAAGGCGAATCGTTGTCCAGTTAAAAACTACCAATAGTTTACTAGGCCCTGCTGAAACAATGATCGCACCGTTAGTTTGAAATAGTTGCATTCATTGCAACTCAGCAAAAATCTGTTCCCATTGTTGGGATTGTAAGAGGCAAACTTTAGGGCGAATGTCCTACGCACAAACATCTCAGCTACATCTCTACAGGTGTATCTACGGTTGTATCTAAGCGGTCACAAAAGATTCTGTATTCGCGCAGGTGAACGTCACGTTAGAATGTTGACGTGAGTGGATAGATCAGTCAGTGTAACGAAAACGAAGCACGTGATGTCAGCTGGACAGATAAAATCAATGAGGCATGGGGAGAGAGAAAAAAAGGATGTCTATTTGGCCATAAAAGTAATAAAACGTAAGTAAACTCGCCGTATTTTGTAAACAAATGATCCTATTTTGTAACTCTCATACAGAATATCCACTCATTCAAGGATAATTTTGTTTTCAACGCTTGAAGAAGGCCCACATCAAACTTCAGAATTTAAAAGCCGACTGATATTAACACTGACAACTTTAAACTCGGGAGAAGAAACCTATTTAAATCATAGTTTACAAGGAACGCTCAGCTGATCAGCCCGGTTTGGTGTCACGGTTACAAAAGAACTTAGTGTTTAGCTCCCAAAATCAGTGTACACAATAAACAATACATTCCCGACACATTATCTGGTTCTTGCAATGTAACTAGCCATACAGAGAAAACGCGATAGTCTATTTGTGAACACATATTTTTTGGTAGGAAAAAGTCCACTCCAAGATAGCAGCTGATATCGACGCCTTTACTTATAGTGATATGGCTATTCATTCGAAACTAGCTTGAGTATCTATATGCATAAGATCATTTTAAATGTCTGTTTGATTTGTGTTCTTATAGAACCCCCATATCTTTATGTCACTGGGTGAACAAATCTCCGTTAGCGAAATTACCAAAGTTTGACAGAAGTGTATGAAAGGTTTCTATGCGTGATTGGAAGTGGGTTCAGTGTAAACGTCGGTTGGATACTGCGAATCTCAACCGAATATTCTTATCAGCATCCATACTGTCAGACACAATACCCTTGATGCAGTCGAGCCATCAATGGGTGAGAATCTTCATCGTGTGTATGCACGTCCATACCGTCCTTAGTGCTATACAGTCTAAAATGTTGGACCAAGTACATTGTCTTCTTCTACCAACAGAGCCATCATTAACATAGAAGATATATCTTTCGTTGTGCCAAGATAGGTCCACGACTATTGCAGTCCAAATACGGCTGTGCAGTTCTGCCATTTGATACCAAAGTAATGGGAGCTGAACATCAGCTTGTGCCCTACTTGGAGTCAGGAACTGTTCTTTATTCCTGTATGAAGATTCTAAGACGTTCCTCGTGGAAACTTATCTCCTATCTATTCGTTGCTCACTCATTGTAACTCATTCTGTTCCTAATTTGTGTCTAGATCATATTTACACGTACCTTCAATTATACAGACAGAGTTGCTTTGGTGAAATGACATAATATAGGAAAAAGTTTTTGTCAACAGCGAGATTTAGCCCAGGAAAACATCCAACACCGTTAACTGCGGTGGCTCGGTCATGTGCTACGCACGTTCAAAACATCTTCTATCTAGACGAGTGTTATTCTACCTGCCTCCTTCAGAATGGCGCACACTAAGACATGGGCAGCGTATGGCTTAGCAGAATAGTGCCAAAGAGATTGCGAAGAGTTTAAGTGCTGTTAGTGCGGTGTACCTTCCGGGATGGATTCCCCGTGCCCCTCTCCCTTGTGCAAGGGCTGGAAGGTCGCTGGTTCAAAACTCTGAGTTTTGTGATTCCCAAAAAGGATAAAGCAGATGTACAATGCTTGTTGTTTTTTACTGTCAGGATGAAATCCCTGTTAAAAATTACCATATCTCTCCATGCCACCATCTTTTTAGATTGTCCAACTGAGTGCTTGGAGATGTAGGCACTTCGGAATTATTGCGTTAGGCTAGCCTTGGGTCCATTCCTCACCCACTCCTTTCTCTTCTTCTCACTTTGAAACCTCAAGTATAATGAAATGAAACTTGTGATTCTATGGCAGTGAAGCATCCGTGTCAACACTAATGTTGATGATGATGGTGGTGATAATGATGATGATAATGATGATGGCGATGATGATGATGATGATGATGATGATGATGATGATGATGATGATGATGATGACGATGATCTTCTAATGACGACGAAAAAGTAACCAAACACATCCTAGGTGGCAATTCATTCATGTTAACTTTCTGGGCAATCAGCGCAGCCTATGCCATTTTGATGTTCACCCCGTGCATGGGAATGAAAAACTTTATTCGCAATGGCTTCGAACATCTTTTTCACTTACACATTTACACAGTGCATCGTGATCTGCAATAATAATTTCAACAAGTTATCTGAAACAAATTGCACACTGCTACAAAATAAACTGAACACAACCATCTTTTCCGCTTTTTCGAATAAGTCGGTCTTTTTTGGTAGAGGTAGGAGCAAATCAGAGCTGCTTGGCGCTCATAGTAATGACTGTGCGTCAAAACAGTTAGAACGAAAGCGAGATTCACACACAAAATTGGAGAATATAATGCTGAACAACAGCTGGGCCGAACGAACAACATTGTTGGTTTCGTGTAAAACACTTTTAGTTATATATGTTTACCTGTACAATTGCTCCATGCACTGGGATCCAGTGGAATAAATAAATAAATTTCCTAGGCTGTTTTTATTCGTTGTAATCCGTCCCACTGTCCGTGTCCAATTTATGTTTACTACCCGGTCGAATAAGGGGACGTGAGCGAGTTGAAAAGGAATTACCACGACGAACGTCGCGATTCGAGGTAGTGGACTTCAGCATGAGGGATGATACATCAAGAGGTCTCCGAAAACGAGACGGTAGGGTGGAAATGCAATAAGCACTTCGCGTGGATCCTGAGTCGGGAGAAGTCAGTTCACCACTATATCCTTTCCAGGAAGGATAATGCACAGCACAGGAGGATTTAGGTTTCACAGACTGGTTGAACGGACTAGGTGTGTTTATTGCCCACCAGTCTGGTTTGAGGGCTGTTGTCGGAGAACCATTCTCACTGGAGGCCGAGGAATGACGGGAATTCCAACTTTCCTCACTAGGCTCTTTGCTACTACTGTGTGAACTATCGTGAGTGCTGTGTCGCATTCGACTGGGACATGGACGATTGGCAAATTGTTTATTTGGCTCAGAGTGCAAATCTGGATTGACGTGCAAGCTGGTGTGTAGCACACCCTTTACAAGTGAGTGAGGACCGGTATATGTGCCAGTTTTCTGTTGCTGACCAGAAAACGAAGGTTGAAACAAAGTAACAGGACAGTTACCCACTTTTCCTTGTTCTAGCCGGTCTGACACTTCTACAGTTGGTGGATAGTTAGTAGAAGATAAAATCCTTTCACATCTAACTCGTTGCGATGCCTTCAAGGTGTCAGTTATACGGTCCTCATTATTGACTTTTGGTTCGTGCTCCGTAAGGCTTGATCGAGAATGGCTGAATTTGAAATCGTTATGGTTGGAATGGTCAAATGAGGCAGGGTTAAATGTGATTTTGGAATAAGGTGAGATGCACCGTTCGGTATAAGCAAACAGTTGTGTTGTTCCGGAATGTTGGTGACTGCCCAATGGCAATTTGATCGGGGAAGAGTAAATGTTGTCAAATTTGTAAGCTGCTGTACCTACGGCAGAGGTCGGGGTCTTAACAATTTTTTCACTATCCTCCCTTAGATTACTATTACGTTCTTCACTGGTTGCTTTCGTTTGGAGAGTGGTACGGTCGAATGACATACTTCCATGTACTGGGCAAGGGGATGTATACTGCAGTCCCGGGCGGGTTACTGTACAGTTATCACGTACGTCTGATGAATGATTTACACGGGCATAAATGTGTGCTGATTGCATGGGTGAATATGGGATATGTCCGGAGAACGCACGATCTTGTGTATTCCTAGTGGATTGCTCTTGCGATGTTGCAATCATGGGTGATGGAAAGCCATAGCTCAGTGGACCAGTCAAACCGTAAATGGATGGTGGAGACTCCATGCCGTTATCCGCAGATATCCTCGTTGCTAGTAGAACTGTGGGTTCGGGTCCATCACAGGAAACTAAGAATCGATTTTCACCGGTTGCAACAGTTTCGTGTATCAAAGAACCACCTAATGGTGTCAACTTTGGATCATTATGGTTAAGCCGTACCACCGATGTGGCAGTAAGTGCGATAGTGGGTGTTGCAGTTGTGGTAGATGAGTAAATTTGACGGATTGGAGAATTTGGTGGGTCGTTTGGGTCGAAAAATGGTTGACTTCGTGAATTCGCAACCACATTGCCGTCTCCCATTTTCTTCCTTTCTGGAGACTCCTTAGAGTTCGTGAATAGTATCCCAGGTTTGTGACAGCCGTAACAGCTTGAAAGTCGATCGGTCTTTGAACTTTTGCCCATCCATTTATTTATTGTCTGATCTGGACGATGTCGAGGATCGCAGCAATAAAATATACATGCACCAAAAGCAGTCAACAGGACGAATAAAATTCCGGACCCGATTCCAGCATAAATCCAACTCTGTTGAATGGTAAACACACCTGGTTTAACCGTCAATAGAAATGTTGCGCCCACAGGTCTATCGTTGCTGTAAATAGCACAGCTCCATTCTGCGTTGTCGTCTGAAGGATCAAATGTTACTTGAATATCTGAAACAAAGGTTTCCTCAGTGGTCCGTTGAATTATACTGTGTCGCGTGCCATTCTGAACTTGCTGACCATTCTTGAACCAAGATACGGGACTAACTGGATCGGCATAGAACTCGCAAGACAAGGTCGATGTCTCACCGGCCCGGACGGACACATTCTGACTCTCGGTGATTATCTTCGGAGTACACTGGAAGCTGTGGTCCGTCAAATCGGGACTGAAAATCGGCTTGTCTCTTAGCACATCAGGTGTGGTACAAAGTGGCTCGAAATTAAGTACCTGACCATGATGATTCTGCACTGATTTCGTGAGCCTAATGTTTGACTTGGCTCTTTTCTTGAACCACCTGTTTAACCATCGTAATTTGCAGTCACAATGCCAAGGATTTCCGCCAAGGTAAAGTTCGTTAAGTTCCGACATCGCGTCCAAAGTGTATTGCATATTGGACGGCAGAGATGTTATTTTACTGAAACTCAAGTCGAGTAAACGTAGTTTGCGCAGTGACATGAACGCTCCCGGATCAATGTACATGGACACGCCCTTTGTTGGACCCAGTAACAAATTTTGCAACTGACTTCCTCCGCTCAGTACGAAAAAAGAGTCCGGAACTAAATCAATAGGGTTCTCAGCTAGATTCAAGGTCCTAAGCTGGGGCAGGCTTCGTAACGCTTCTTTAGGAAGTCCATTTATTCCCAGATGGAGTGAGTTGTTCTGCAAATTCAGGTACTTAAGGTTGGTTAGAGAGCGAAATGCATCCATTGTTACCCGAAGAACACCGGACGATTCAATTTGTAACGTTTCCAAATTAGTCAGCTGTGCTAGTCCTTTGTTGGAGATCAGTGGGATCAGCTGTTGTTTCACACGCAAATCGATAAGATTGGTAGGCAAATCATGTGGGATGTTGGTGAGGCGAGCAGAATCTGAATCACAAATTGCTTTTTTCCATTTAAAATCCGGTGCGAAAAATACACTACATCCTTGGACCGCTTCTGCAACATATTCAACAATATTCATCACAAGCAACAATGGGAATAAACACAGCAGCGACTGAATATTAATCGGGTCTGAACGTCTCATTGCACACAGAAATCTATTGGGATTTCACATCACCAGTGCTAGACTGAGGTCCCTGTTCGAAGGAAGTTCAAATAATCCGCAGTGTTTGAATTAATCTCTCTAACCAGGCAGATCAACATATTCGGTGAACATAAAATCACCACATGCTCTGCTTTATCATACCTGGCCATTGATCACCAGTCTTGGCTGGTTCAAAATTCTGCGGTCTACTGGTCTTGTTCGCAAGCTAGGAGAATTAGGATCTGAATTGTTTGCGCGTATGTGAATTGAGATGGAGTTTCGGCAAGCACGCAAAAGCGAAATGAAAGCGGGCGACAACACACCACGCTGATCCGTAACTGTGTCTGGCATTCATTCTGTTGCTGTGCCGAAGGAAAGCCACTGGGTAGGGAGCGAAAGTTTCCCTGTTTTTTCCCGTTCAATCAGTCGCATTTCTTCTCTCACTCAGGTCTGTGTGGGTCACGCTCACTGGATGTATATCTAACCCAACACACACTGACCGACGATCAATTCACTTCTACCCCGGTGCGGTAGCATTGTTCCACCCTGTTCGTCAAGAGCACTGGTAGAGGGTTTGCGCCAGATTAGCAGCGCAACAGACGCCAACACTGATCCCTGCGGTAGCGTGCGTACCAAGTTGACTCTGATGTGTGTGTAAGGGTGTGCCAACATGTCTGTACAGTGGAGATATCTCCAACGCCTAGTGCCAGTCTGGTCCGGATAAGGCACGTTGGCACTGATCATATCAATCCACCGGGCACTTGTCAATGTGAGAATTTTCTCGAAACAAACTGTCATTCGCACTCATTCTCATTCAGGCAAATTTCTTTTCACGTGCGTAAGAGAATCGTTACTGCCAGTTTTTCGTCACGATACGAAGCCCTATTTCTCTGATGAAATGGTTGATCTAAGGTCTGTATGAATTACCGGTTTGAGGTGACAAATACTCCAACCGGCTGGTGACAAGTGGCTCGGTTAAACATGTAGAACTTTATTAGAAATGACTAAACACCTGTTTTTCGTCATATGCACCGATACGACGTTAGGGTTACACTCACTGTGTTGGATGAGAAAGCTCGGAAGGGAAATAGTCTTTATGGTTTCTTTCACGAAGGAAACTACTCACAAGGTTGCTGAAAACTCTTCGAAAGCCCACGACTGGTTTTGCCCTTCTTAAGGCTCATCGGGTAGGCACAGTCCCCGAGTTTTCGTCAACCTTACGTTCTACTCAGCTGTCAGAAGCAAACTTGCCAATCCAGACGCGCCAGCTGCTTTTAATCCATCAAACTGAATTCTCGTTTTATGCTTTCCAGTCAACGGGGCTAGTCCTTGCGATTCAAAAGCTTAACATCCCCTTAAAGCCTGACTTTCCAATAAGTACCGTTCATCTGGGCATGGTACTGGTATAAGGACGATCCCTTCAGTTGGCCATACAATCTAGCTCCCTCCATTGACTACAAGTTGTTTAAATGCTGCCAGAGGTGACTTGGTGCGAATCGTGTTGTATTATCTATCTTTCTTCAGTTTCATTCAAGATTTTTAGTACTTAGAACAGCCCACTATTAGGAACAGCTGTTTGGCGATGGTAGTAAAGAAATAAGACTCAATGAAATGCACTCATTCGAACGCCAATTTTGTTTTAACGGGAGACTCAACGGAATCCCAGCCGAACCTCTCGTTTATGCTACTCTTCAACTGAATATGCTGTACATGCTTCGGTTGTTATGATATTCGGGATTTCACAGTATATTTTTTTGAACGAAGCGATTCCGAAGAGTTTGCAACAGGCCTGTGAGTTGCTCCATTCATCCCTCGCTTGAGAGCCTGAGTGGGGGGTTTTCGTTATTATTTTCCCGCATCCGGTTTCTGTTTAACGAGATGAACAACAAGCTAGATGAAATCCACTAAGTTTACCGATTTTCCTCATTCGTCCTCACAGGTAACGTATAACACAAGAATCCTTAGTATTTGTGACTGAACGCATTTCTATTAGAATCTATTCAGATAACGCAATCGTGACGTCCTGAAGTGTTCACCACTGAAGGACGGTATTTTGGAATATTTTTTATATCTGTTGCAGGGATTTCTTCTTTAATTTTCCACAATTCCATTGGAAGGCGTCTGGTAAATTTTGATCCAAAAAGGTATTTATGGAGTCGTTTTACAGCCCAATATACAGCAAGTGCTTCTCGTTGCGTCTGAGAATATCCACGTTCGGTTTTTGAGGGTCGACGGGAAATGCAGATCACTGGTCTACCACACTGTTCAAGGATTGCCCCTATTCCAGTGGGAGAAGCATCAGTAATGATCGTCGAATGATGTTTGGCGGAAAATGGCTTCAAAACAGCTGAAGTCTGAAGATAACCAAGTAGTGTACGCAACGTCTTCTCATGGTTTAAGGACCAAGAAAATTGATTAGGAGATATGATATCAAACAGACAGTTTGCATGTTTGGCGAAATTGGGAATGAAACGGGAGTAATACTGGAGTGCTTCTAGAACTGAACGCAGTTCTTGAAGATTGGTTGGTGATGGCGCATTTACTAAAGGGGATAAACGTTTTGCGTCAGGTTTAAAACCGCTTCCATCCAAAATGTAGCCAAGGCGTGAAAATGATGGCACACCAAAAGTGCATTTATCAGGATGAATAGCTACAATGAACTCAGAAAATCGCTTCAGTAAAGACAACAGACGCATATCATGGGTAGCTTTGTCAGCAGCGTGCACAATGACGTCATCTTGGTACGTCATAACACCCTCCAAATCTTTTGCAATAGTATTCATAACTTGCTGAAATACAGTGGTGAAACGTTTAGACCGAAGGGAAGGAAATTGTATCGGAATAACCCAAAGGGTGTGTTGATCACGGTAAGGTTACTAGAGGCTTCGTCCAGTGATATTTGAAGATAAGCATCTTTTAAATCGATTTTTGAAAACACACTTGAACCTGATAAACGATACAATACATCTTCTGGCTCTTCCGTGGTGCATGTACGTTGTAGTAGCCGCGTATTTAGCGTAAGCCGGTAGTCACCACAAATTCTCGGAGTAATACCATCAGCCTTCAGTGGGGTAACGATCGGAGTTGCCCAATTCGATGACTCAACAGGAGTCAGTATTCCTTTCGCACACATTGAATTTAATGCTTGACGAACAGGCTCGCGTAAACCAAATGGAATAATCCGTCTCTTAAGAAATATAGGCTCTCCTGTAACTTCGAGCCTCATCTTGGGAATTTGCATGCCACCTGTGGCCTTAGAACATTTAAGAATCAGTTGCTTGAGTTCATTCTCATTCGCAGAAGTCAGTAAGGTGATACTGGTTTGCAGTAAGCGTAGAACTTTGAGTCCGACGATCGATGGTCCCGACGTTGATACCAAAAAATTACAATCGATACAGGTACCTTGTAGTAACCTCACAGGGATCGTGCAACTACCAACGAGAGGTACAGAATGTCCAGTGATACCGCGACTATTAATATCTGTAGGCACTATCACGGCACTGGGGTAGAATGCAGTTAGATCTGATTGTGGAATGATGGACTCAACACTACCAGTATCAACAATAAAGTCATGCTTTTGACCAGAAGCGGATATCAACGTTTTAAAAACATGTGACGAATTTTGGGACAAAACAGATAGAGAAAGAGTAGAAATATCTTCAGATAATGTCTTCACGTCAGTATTTGGGTCAGAAGTTAAGTGACACACTTTCTTGGACTTACAGACAAGTTGAATGTGTCCTGTTTTACCGCAGATAAAACACTTCGCTCGTCTGTGGGGGCATGAATATCTGGAATGGTTTCGTCCACAAGACTCACATTTCCCAAATTTTTGAGCCATCGGATTAGGGTTACGATCTGTGAAGTGACGTGCTGATGGATTTGGGGCACGAGAATCTGTTCGAGGTTTGAATTTGTCGTTCATCTGCATCCTTGAATTATTTCTTTTAGAATAATTTAACAAGACTGCTTCCTCAATCTTCGTCACACGCTTCACATCTTCATACTGCTAACATATTTTCCGAATAATTTGAAATTTCTGATCCAGACAGAGTAGCAGCTTCTGCTGCAATTCGGGCAGCTGAATGCCAGCAATGAGGCTATCACGCAGCTGGTCTTCCAATTGGGCACCGTAGTCACATTTGGCTGCCTGTGTCTGCAGCTGTAACACGAAATCACGAACCGACTGAGAATGAGAGCGGGCCAACATATTGAACCTAGCTCTTTCGGCTGCTGCGAAGTTAATCGGCTTGAAGTGTTGAAGAACATTCTTCTTCAATGCAGTGTAGGAAATATCGATTGGGGGTTCAGGATGTACTAAATTTTTGATCAACGTATACGCCTCCTTGCCAACGAAATGTAGGAAATATGCAGTGAGTTTCTTATCATCTATATCGGATTTTGTGAGACACCATATGTCGAATCGTTCCAAATAATCCTCCACGTCACGTTGAATTGAATTAACATCTAATGGTTCCATTTCGGCAGGCATGATGAATTGTTCCAATGAATTGTTCCAAAATGTGAGAATTAAGTTCTTATATCGGATCGGAATAACCAGACGGACTAGAAATCCAGAATTCAGATCAGCGCAACAGGTAGCACGTATGCATTCGAATTGGCGTGTATGTACAGCATATAGAATATTAAAACAAGAGAATAATGAATAGAACAATGAATAGAGTACCAGTCATGTTCATCAGAGCGTCCCTCATCCTGTATGAGCAGGTAGTTAGGAAACTGAGAAATCTGATCCTATATAAGCATATACAGGATGGAAAGGTCTATGAAACAAATAATCCCTCAGAAACCTAGTTGACTGGTAAATACGGATCGAACCATTGTCTTGCTACTTACCAATTATGGGTGTGTTTCCAGAAATCTTTCAAAGCAAGAACTGAATTTATGGTAGTGTGGGGTAGAGCAGAGTGAAGTAGATTAGATTAGATTAGATTAGAGTAGAGTAGAGTAGAGTAGAGTAGAGTAGAGTAGAGTAGAGT